TGGTTGGCCAAGCACCAACCCAAACATCTGTCAACAGTAAGTTAATCATGGCGTCGTTTATTGCCACCATCTACCTCATACCTGACAGAGAGATTTGCGATCTTCAGAATTGTTTTAATTAAATCGAACTTTTATCAGCAGACGGAACTGATATAACTGTAATGGCAGATCCATTCTCAGTATAATCTGAATGATTATTCCTACCTTCAAAATCATTTGGCATTACTGGGAAAGGTTTATACAGCATCTTTTTTGTTCAATCAGTATGGAACTGGGATATACACAGTTAAAATGTATGTTTGTCAGTTCCTGGTAACCAGCGCAGCTGAAACTTTTGGCACACACAGGCCAATGGGATGATAATCATATATCAGCTCTCTCACACCACACGCACAAAGAGGCCAACTGGGATCATATTCCACACACAACACAGGCACACACACACACCACACCCAACACACACCACAAACACATCATATTTTCCACTGACTGGATACAGATGCGTACACACACACACACACACACACACACACACACACACACACACACACACACACACACACCTCTCTCTCCCACCCCCCTTTCTCTATACGTGAACATGCTGGGAATGTGTTGTATTAGCGTTTTCTTAGTCAAAGAGCCGTGTAATCCCTCTGTGAACGGCTCGGCCCGCTGGGGAACACAGGAGGGAGGACACACACTGACACACAGAGCTGAGATAATGATCACTTTTGAAACATTTGATGCCGTTTGAAACAGAATGACATGAGAGTTGCATCCCCTGCTGCAGTTAGCTTAGCAACACCAACCACAGCAGCCAATCCTAATGATAAGATCTAGTCACATGACAAAATCAACAAATACCAACAGCAATAATGGTAGTGGGAAAATCATGATAATGTTACTTTAACTGTTGTCAAGGTCTTGGTAGATTACTTGGTGGCACACATGATTTATGTTGCAAATAAAACACCAATAAATAACTTTTTAACTATTGTTTGCCATCCAGTAAAAGTGGTCTGGTTTTACCTAACAGTAAACTCCCCTCAAACAATAGACTCTAATTTTACAGTCTTACACAGGACTCAGAGTTAAGGGTAAAGTGTCAAAAAATATCTGGCACAAAGGCATATTTTCTAGAGTTAAGGTTTCTAAATCAATCCTTTTATTTATTATGCATTATGTAATCAAAGGTCTAGTCAATCATTCTATTATTATCACCATCAGCACGTCGTACCTGTGCAGGTTGCTGGTGAGTGGCCACCATCTTGAGGAAAGTTCTCTGGGTCTGCAGTGCGGTGTTCACCATGTCCGCCTGTCAATCATCAAGAAAAAAGGTTAAATAGGTTTGGATTATAATACGTGTAACAAGCAGCATGTGTAGTGAAAAAAAACAAAAAGGCAGCAAAGATACTTGTTTAGGTTCACTAAAAGATCAATGTTTGGTTTAACAAGTGTTTTACGATATTTAAGAGAAGTTTCACAAGCCGTAGTTTGAATCAGTGAAAATATTTACGTTGGTTTATTTTCTATTTACCGGTAGTATAGTTTCATGGTGCACACACATACTTGCCCTTAACATGTTTCCACTTTGACTCTGATCCATTGAGTGCATGAATCCCCTATACAATATTACCTTGCTCCTTAGATTGCTTTATTAATGTCACTATTTTTGGTGACTTTAGATTGGCCCAGATGTCAAGCAACAGTCCTCTTTAACCCACCTTTCGTTTACCTGTGAGCTTCTCAACCGTTGCCCCCACAGGAAGCGCCTAATCCCTGCGTTTTTAGTTCACTTCCTGCAATTGGGTCAGTTTATGTTCTCACTGCAATTGAACCACATGAGAGTTTGCTTGCTTTGACACCCCTCTCACACTCAGTCTCAGCTGATTGTTTTGGCCCAAACTAGATATTCACAACGGACAAACTAAAGAAGGTTTGATGAAAACTGACTTATATTGGCTTTTGAAAGTGGCTTAATTCATGGAACTAAAACAAAACAAGTCAACCTTTCACATGGGACACGAACACCAGTCTCCTGGCTGCAGTGTTTGTGTAACTCCTTCACCCCCCCCTACGTGCCTATGTAAGCAAACTTCTATGGACTTTAATTTAAAATGAATTTGTTAACATAAAAAAATAAACCTAAGAGAAAATACATTTCCCTCAAATTGTGATTGACAGTTTGTGTTTGCATGATGGTGTATTCTGAACATAGAGAATATTACAGTGCATGACATTCTTTCAATCTCTTTCGTTTATGCTTTCATCGTGTTCTCCCAAGCTTATTGAAATCCAGGGCTGTGAATCTGTCTGTCTTACACATACAAAAGAAAAAAGACACACACACACACACACACACACACACACACACACACACACACACACACACACACACACACACACACACGCTCACTCATGGCCGTTTCTCTCCAAAAAACAAAAAAAGTATAATTCAACACCACAGACGATTCGTTATACTTCTTTTTGGGATGTTATTATTTTTTGTAGATTTGTTGAGTACGTGTTTCCCCATATTTCGGAGCAGTAGTAAAGGTAAGGGAGAAATAGACTGTTATAAAGAGTATTCTTCTTCCAGAATGTTCTTAGTGTGATACAAAA